TGGCTTTGAGGTCCGCAAACATGTGGGTGAGGCACATGAAAAGACGCGACATCCGGACGATTGCGAGGCGACGCAAACGGGCAGCCTCAGGGGGTGGAATGAGGCGCGGCAGCTTCCCCCGACCCGATTTTCGGTCCCCTTCGAGTCACAGAGCGTCGGGAATCGTTCGTCATGGGAGCGACCAGATGCCCTCGCGGCAGCTCTTCGACTCGAGCCGATTTGATCGAGATCACCTCACCGGCTCCGAGAGGCGCGCGGCGCCGCGGGCGACACGGTGCTCACCGCGCAATGCACGAGGCCGTATGTGCGACCAAGCCCGGACAGCCCCCTCGGGAGGGACATTCCAGGGGGTGTTTCTTCGAAGTTGGTCGCACATACGGGACCTCAGCACTAATGCGAGCCCCTCGTCGGTCGCCCCCCACCGATAACCGCCGTTCTCGTCGTCCACGGGCTGCCCCGACGCGAACTAAGTTGCTCCCCATCGACCGATGGTCTTTCCCGAGCGACTCGCAGCCGGGCCCAAGGCGCGACATGGTCCACAGACCGAGCGCCGCGCCAAGTCCTGGAACCGCTGCATCGCGTGCCCAACCTGGGCGAGGCAGCTCGGAGTCAACCAAGTGATGTCACGCCGAGCGTCAACATGGCAGAGTATCGACTGCAACTCGCAACCAGTGCAGCACACATCACGATGGCGGCGGAGCCTCCAGGCAGCGGGGCGTGCTGGGATGGCGTGGTGCGTCTCATCGTCGTCGGCGACGCCGGCTCCGGGAAGAGCGCGGTCATCGAGAGCTTCAGCGCCCACCTGCGGGGCGAGCCGCCGCCGCCGCGCCGGGCGAGCCTCGAGGCCGCGCGGCCGGTGGAGGGTCGCGACGCCTTTGCGCCCTGCGCGCCCGGCGACGTGGGCTTCGACGCTCTCGGGCGTCGCGTCTGCCTCCTCGAGATCCCCGGCGCGCTCGCGGCGCCGGCCGGCGGCGACGCGTTCCTCGCCCTGACGGAGATGCCGCGCGACCAGGGCAGGACAAGGGTGATTCAACGTCGCTTCAACGTGAGTGTTCCGCGCGCGCGCGTTCTGGGAAATGCATCCACGCTTCGAGACCGTCC